AGAATTGAACCTGTGTCCTTAGCACTGTGAGGTAGCAATGCTAAACACTGAGCCACTGTGCCAGCCCATGTTTAAAGCATCAGTGTCTTGCCTTGCGACACCATTGGTGCTTCAGATCGAGCAAAAAGCTACCAGTACGCCAAAATTATGAGCTCTAGGATACTTTCAGAGGGCATATGTCCCAGTTTCTTAGCAGCATAACTAATACATTTTTGAAGTCAGCGAGAGAGAATCTGACCTGCAGAAAAATAAAAGCCCATTGCCCCATTTTCTTTCTTTGTAACTGTTCTCATAAAAGTTTGTGAACTGAGAACCCACTTAAAGTCATTTTTACCACTTGGGAAGAATTCCTTAAAAGGATTTTCTTGGAATATACACCATCATCTGAAGCAAAGAGAAGTAGATGACTAAACAGCTCTAGGAAAACACTGAAGTGCCAGTAGCTTGTTTATAGCTTTGGTATCAAAACAGCATTTAAAATGATCTGTGATTTTATTTTACAAGCTTATCTATTAATTGGCTTAATTAATTTACAACAAATGTTTTGCAGAGTTTACATTTCTTTTTTTCTCCTCAGACTTGTATGCACATGTTTTAGTTTTTTTTTAAAGAGTAAATGTACTCTATGACTCTATGACTCTATAAGTGCAAATTCAACCGTTTGTCAATAAGCATTGCATTTGTGTTTAATTAATGTTGTTACTAAGTAATAAACCAATTATTTGTTGTTGACTAAAGAAACCTTGCTGACTTGTTCTGAAAACTGAACACGACACAGTCTGAGATGTAACCAATTGGCCATATCACCAGAGATAGTAGGAACTGCAGATGCTGGAGAATCTGAGATAACAAGGTGTAGAGCTGGATGAACACAGCAGGCCAACCAGCATCAGAGGCGCAGGAAAGCTGATGTTTCGGGTCTAGACCCTTCTTCAGAAATGGGGAAAATGGGGAAATGAGCCATATTACCAACCTGGTTACATTTAAAATACTTTATGACCAGAGAGAGAGACTACAAATAAAAACAGTGTACATCTCCAAACTCAGTTATAACACTAACTTTGTACGCTGTCTCAAGGTATTAGTGAAGCTTTGTTGTATGCAATTTGGTTATCTTGTTTCCTGTATTGCAACAATGATGAGGTTTCTATTTCTTTTGGTTTTAATTCTCTTGGAGTTTTAGAGTCATACAACACAGAAACAGACTCTTCGGTCCAACCAGTCCACACCGAACATAATCTCAAACTAAACTAGTCCCACCTGCCTGCTGCTGGCCCATATCCCTCCCAACCTTTCCTACTCATATATCCATCCAAATGGTTTTTAAATGTTGTAATTGTGCCCACATCTACCACTTCATCAGGAAGTTCATTCCACACGTGAACCACCCTCTGCGTAAAAAAATTGCGTCTTATGTCTTTTTTAAATCCCTTAAAAATGTGCCTGCTAGTCTTGAAATTCCCCATCTTAGGGAAAAGACAACTACCAATAACTCTGCCTATACCTCTCATTATTTTATAGACTTCCATCAGGTCACCCCTCATCCTCCTACACTCCAGTAAAAAAAAAGTCCCAGCCTATCCAGCCTTCCTTTATAACACAAACCTTCCATACTCAGCAACAGAGATAACAAGGTATAGAGCTGGATGAACACAGCAGGTCAAGCAGCATCAGAGGAGCAGGAAGGCTTACGTTTCAGGCCTAGACCCTTCTTCAGAAACCTGCTTCTCTGATGCTGCTTGACCTGCTGGCAGCATCAGAGGAGCAGGAAGGCTTACGTTTCAGGCCTAGACCCTTCTTCAGAAACCTGCTCCTCTGATGCTGCTTGACCTGCTGTGTTCATCCAGTTCTACACCTTGTTATCTCAGATTCTCCAGCATCTGCAGTTCCTATTATCTCTGAAACAATTTATACACAGCAACATCCTGGTAAATCTCTTCTGAACCTCTCCAGCTTAATAATATCCTTCTTATAACTGGGCGACCACTGGGCATGGTATTCCAGTAGAGGCCTCACTAACATCCTGCACAACCCAAACATGACTTCCCAACTCCTATATTCAAACAACTGAGCGATGAAGGTAAGCATGCCAAATGCCTTTTTTAACCATCCTGTCTATATGTGACACAAACATCAAAGAATTACATACCTGCATCCTTAGCTCCCTCTGTTATACAACACTACCTAAGGCCCCACCATTACTTGTATAAGCCCTACCCTTATTTGCTGTACCAAAATTCAATACCTCGCATTCATCCAGATTGAACTCCGTCTGCCATTTTCCAGCCCATTGACCCATTTGATCAAGATACCTTTGCAATCTTAGAAAACCTTCTTCAATGTCTACAATGCCACCAATTACAGTGCCATCCGCAAACTTACTAACCATACCTTCTATATTCTCATCCAAATCATTTATATAAATGACAAAAATAAAGGACCCAGAACGAATAGCTCACTTCTATGGCCATGGCTCATTTAATTTCTCCTCTCGACAAAAACTACGTCCTCCAAGATTCCTAAACTTGCAAATTTCTTTCTCAGCTAACTCACCATTCCTGCTGCTGACTGTGAGGCCAGTGGATATGTTTTCAGCATCCTTTCCTCCAGAATGCCTTTACATTGGTGAACAAGGCTCTTACCATTCTAGTACACATTGTGGCTGATTGCATTGACATCATATCCTTGATAAAAACCTGGCTGATAGATGGTAACACCTTTGTAATAAATGAAACCTCCCTGTCTGGCTAATCCTTACACAAATTATCCCAGTAAAATTGCTGGGTGGCTTCATTCAATAACACCTATCCACCAGTGGGAATTTATGCTGCTTTGGAGCCCTAAAAGCTCAAAGTGATTCTGTTTGTCCTGACAATTTGTCTTCCGACCATTGGCACACACTCATTTCCTTTACTTCACTCTGTTATACATGTGTATATTGACAACAATGTGAGGAAAATGTGAAGGCAATTTATCGGAATGAAAACATGGATGAAAGATTTGGGTCTTGTTCTGACTAAAGCAGAGAAAGTTTCGGTGAGAGTTAACAAAGATGTGTAAAATTATGAGTTTTGATGCCATACATAAGTAGAGACTGTACTGACAAAAGGGTTGGTCATTAGAGGTTATGGGTTTAAGAACCTGGCACAATAACCTTAGGCAGATGAGCTTTTGTACTTAGCAAACTGTTATGATTTGGAGTGTGCTACCTGAAGGTTGGTGAAAGCAAGTTCGATAATAATTTTGAAAACAGAAATGAATAAACACTTGAAAAGAGGGAGTGAAACCTTGCAGGGTTACATTTGTTTAGCAGGGAAATGGAATTAATTGGATCATTATTTCAAATATCCAGCATCAAAACAAATGCAGAATGGCCTATTTTGGAGCTGCTTGATTAGATATATTTTCCTAATCAACCACAGAGATGCTATTACAAATCTCAGGAGCTGCTGGGGTTGAACCAAGGTCTTCTGCCCCAAAGTTGGGATATTACCACTGCGACACGAGTGGACCCTTAGCTGGCAGATTCTACAGTTACTGAGTGGACTGTGACGTTATCCATACAGGCCTACTTTCCAGCAGAGGTTATGGGATGCTCATCATATCTATTTGGGACTTTATTGTGATGTCATATTAATGAAAACAAGCCATTATTAAATGGATATCATAATCTCACTCTGTAACAAAGATCTTCAGCCATCCACACATATTTTGATAGAACAGTGACTCTTCAAATAACAGTTCTGTTCCTGGTTTATTTTCCAACCTATTCAATATAACATTGATCCACTTGAGCTAACTCTATGTTGAGCCATCAAAAAATATTGGACAAAGTATACTAACTATTTCTATCCATCCAAGGTTGGAACAAATCTGACGTGGCATTCAAGTAGAGGCGGCAGATTGATTTCATTATCATAGATCTGCTGAGTTTGTACTTCAATGGATATAGTCACCAGTCATACATTTCGGAAATCAAATTATTGTTTTTAGTGGAAGGTGCTTCCAAATGGTTATTTTTTTTTCTTGTATGCACAAAATCAAACAGTAATTTATTCAGGCACAGCTGCAAAATTATAGCAATAAACTAGGGCACCCAAATGTGGTTTGGGAGATTTGTTTGATATGTGCAAAATTATTTCAGTGAAAGAACAAGAAACAGAGATGTCATAAATTTAGAATTAATGATGTCATTTTCAATCTGAATCACTAACTTTAGCTTTGGATCACAATGTGCATTTAACTATAAATTAGCATTTCATTTTTTAACCTTGCACTGTAACTAGCAGAGCTGTGCTTGAGTGCTGTAATTCACATGCACTACAGCTAGCAAGGTATTATCCAAGTCCCAGAGGTACTCGACTGAATTGATGAAATGACCTGCAAGGCCTAATTAAAGCTGTTCAGTTCAAATATATTGATGTATTACATCTATTTTGCTGTGGTTCAATAGGTTTGCCCTGTGTGCACTGCCACAGTCTGTAAAGCAAACTAAACAGTGTGAATAAATAATGCTGAAAGGAGAGAGGGGTGGGGAAGATACCAATGGCTTAAAATGTGTGACAAGGAGCAACAAATGTTACAACCATCATTTTATTCTAAATAAGATTATATAATAGCTGCTAGTTAACAATTCTGGCATATTTTTGTTCAATTTAGCCAATCAAAGCCAAATTTATTGAAAGTGCACTTCTATCAGATAATATGCCAATATGTAATTAGACACATTAGTCTTATTCAATTTGTGTGTTGAATAATGCAAGGAAATTGCAGGATGACATATTTTCAAACTGGAGTGTTTCTTCTCAAAGGTCTACCTTGATGGCTCAGAATCCTGTCAAAAATAAAATCAATTTAAACACTAAACTTTCATTGATATTTTCCTGATCTAACAAAAGTTGCTGGAGAGACTTTGAAGAGAAGAATGCCTTCACGATAATCTGAGAAGAAAAGAAAATAGAAATCCAATATTTCACAACCGACATTTCTGTCCTTCACAGTGCCTTAGGATGGGGCCTGTGGCCTGTAACAGCCTGGCCTGGGAGTGGAACCAGACACCCTTGTTTGTGAGGTGAGTGTGGCATCAGCAGCATCAGCAAAGTGGGCACAGTGGTGAAAAGATGGCGTCTCAGGTGGGGCGACTCCTACATTGCTGGGGCTGGCATAGGCGGCAGTGAGACAGTGGGTGTCTCTGTTTAGGCTAGGTGCTAACATGGACTGGGCTGGAAAGAATGATATTCTGAACATTATACTTCTTTATTTTTCTAATTTATTCCTATGACTTATTTAGAATCAGTATAGAATCATAGAATCCCTACAGCGTGGAAACAGGCCCTTCGGCCCAACAAGTCCACACCGACACTTGGAGCATCCTGCCCAGACCTATCCCCCATAACCCATATAATCTACACATCCCTGAACACTACTGGCAATTTAGCATGGCCAATCCACCTAACCTGCGCATCTTTGGACTGTGGGAGGAAACCGGAGCACCCGGAGGAAACCCATGCAGACACGGGGAGAATGTGCAAACACCACACAGACAGTCACCTGAGGCTGGAATCGAACCCGGGTCCCTGGTGCTGTGAGGCAGCAGTGCTAACCACTGAGCCACCGTGCAGGCCATAATTTATTTCATTACTTTTCTAATTTTTTTCTGTTTCCTAAGAATTTGATCTTAAGTATCTGTACCCAGTTACCTAAGATGGCACTGTAATGCAGTGGCTGTAAATTTTTCACAGTACTCTTTCGAGCATACGTGACAATAAATTTAATTCAATCCAATTCAATTCAAATGTAAAGGAGATGAAACAGGTTTAGTAGGGTATCCATGCACATGTTTGATAATGTGGGAATTGGGACTGTAGGTCAGCATATTGCAAGTTTCCAAAGTTTGAAACATCTCATATGAAACATTGTGAGTGATAGAAATGTCTAATCTTACCTGCTTACAGCAAAAAAAAATGACACCTCCAGCCAATGTTGGCAGAGGAGATAGGTTAAGAACTTATATTGTTGCCTTGTACCATTTTTCAGAGGTTGACATCACAGGGACAAATGGAACTTCTTTTCAAGTGGAAGTCAGATATTTACAGGCTGCAGGAAAAGCAGCAATATAGCACGTTCCTGATGTAAGGCATTTTGAAGACTTTAATATTATTAGTACTATACAACATGGATTGAATTTTGAAACCTAACTTAGATTTGTGCTTTGTCTTCCTGCAAGTAACCACTCTTTTTAAATACAGTTTGAGAAGCTAGAAAATCTCTATTTCATATTGAGCGCTTGTAGCTAATTTATACACTGCAATAAACCAAGTGCACAAGGTGCAGAACATTTCTCACCTAAAAGATATACACAAACTTGAATCATTTCCAAGAGACTGACACCAATTTATTTCCTCTACCATTCTCAGCCATCTTCAGTATAAGCTAACAAGTTCTTGGGGTGCATTTAAAAATTCAAGTGTCCAGTACTGAAATTGGATTTTCTGAGGCTCTGTTACCAGCAGATTTACTAGACAACAAAGTACATGTGGGAAATATCCGCCATTCACCTATCCTTTGGCAATTATTCTCCATGATAGGTGCAGGACACAGAAAATTAATAAATCCCAGTGAAACCAATAAGCTTCTTGTCATTGAACTCCATGTGAACTGTATTTTTATACATTTCAAGTCAGTGACAGTCAGTGAATGTAGCCACTCCATTCTCTAAAGAATGATCAATATTAATTCCATGAATTTTAAAATAAACAAGCATTTAGAAAGGCCAAAGCACTGTCATAAATGTTCCACATTATAGAATATGAAAATCACGATTGGCTCATCACTTAATAGCTGTGAATTCTGTTTTTAAGTCATGGCTGCAATTAGCAACAGGCAGAGAACAGAATCTATTCCACAGATTATATAAAAGAACAATCAGATCAGAGAGCTGCACAACATGTAAGAGCAAATGCTGCAGTAAAGGGCTGATACTTATAAAGAAAACATCAAAGGGCCACACGACACATCAAAGATGATAAATCATTTTTGAAAATGTAATTGGGAGCCTGGCAGTTTTCACGACTCAGGTTATCAATGGGCTAGGAAGGAATACCTTGTTGAGAGCTCCCCTTGACAAAACGCCCTCATGTGCCCCCAACCCTCTGTCCTGTCCATCATAACCCCAGTTCTCTTTTCTGGCTCACTGGGACCTTCTGGCCTGGATTTTGAGATACTCTGCCTCACTGCATCATTGTCTGGTATTAGTGATGATATCCTGTGGGGACAGATGGTGGCTACCAGTCTCAGTGGTACAGCTGGAATCAGAGAGCGCCCATCAGCTGTTGGAGAATGGACCTTCTGACCAAAGGGAAATGTAGGAACAAGATCAAGCCATTTAACCCCTTGACATTATTTTGCCATTCAGTGAGATCACGGCTAATGTGTGGCCTAACTACATATACCTGCAATTGATCTTTAATCCTTAATACCTTTGATCAACAATATATTATCCATCTCAGAGTTAAAATTAACAACTAATTCAGGATCCACTGCCATTTGTGGAAGAGAGTTCTAAACATCTACCACCCTTTGTGTGTAGAAGTGCTTCCTAACATCTCTCCTGAATGGTGTGGCCCTAATTCTCAGACTATGCCCCTAGTTCTGGAATCCACAAACAGTGACAATAGTTTATCTTTATTTACTCTGTTTTTCCTGTTAATATCTTGAAGACTTCAATTAGATCACTCCCTGAGCCTCTAAATTCTGGAGAAAACAGGCCTAATCTGCTTAAGGTTACCTCATAACTTACCCGAGATCCAGATATCTTTCTTGTAAATCTATGTTGCACTCACTCCAAGACCAATATCTCCTTCCTAAAGAGTGGTGCACAGCTCCGCTCACAGGTTTCCAAGTGGGGTAGAACCAGGGCTTTGTATAACTGCAACATAACTTCTACATCCTTGTACTCCAGTCCTCTAGATATAAAGGCCAGCATTCCAATAGTTTTCTTGATTATTTCCTGTGAGGTGAAAGGCTCATCTCAAGCCACTTTATGACCTGCTGACCATCAAACTGCTACGGGGCAAGCCAACAGAGTAGGTTGGTCTCATCCTTGACAGTTTAGCTTCTGGAACCACTCCGATCCTGGGAACATGCAAACTACCAAGTGGTGTCAGGAAAGGAGTCCAGAATGTTGACCTACTAATTCTGAAGGAAAAGAGATATAGTTCCAAAGTGGCATAGTGCATGGCTGAGAACTTGTAGGCGATGGTATTCTCAAAATTCTTGATCATCTAAGTAGCAGAGAACATAGGCTTTGAAGGTGCCTTTGAAGGAGCCTCAGTCTGTTACTGTAGTGTATCTTGTAAATAGCACACAATATTGTCTGTGTGTCAGTGATGAAAGGAATGAGTGTTGAAGGTATTGGATATTGTGCCAAACAAGTGAGTTGATAGTTCTGGATGGTGTCAAACCTCTTGAGTGTTGCTGCAGAGGCATTCATCCAGGCATGTTGTGAGTATTGCATCACACTCTCGACTTGTTGATGGTTCACAGATATTAGGTATTCAGGAGGTAGTTACTTGTCACAGGATTTCTAGCCTCTGACCTGCTCTTGTAGCCACTGAATTTATCTGCCTAGTTCAATGAAGCTTCTGGTCAATGTTCTTTATGATCGAGGATTCAGTGATGGTAGTGCCATTGAATATTAAGGGACAATAGTTTGATTCTCTTTTGTTGGAAATTGTACCGCTTGCGAGTTTATGGCACAAATCTTACGTGCCTCTGATCAGCCCAAGTCTGGACATTGTCAAGGCATGCTGCAAAGAGAAATGGGCTGCTTCACTACCTGGGGAGTTGTCAGAGGGTCTGAACATTGTGCAAACATCCTCATTTCTGCTATCACCTCACCTCTGGAATTTAGCTCTTTCATCCCAGTTTGGACGAAAGCTGTAATGAGGTCAAGCGCCAAGTGGTCCTGGCAATATCCAAATTGACCATCAGCAATCAATTTATTCCCTTGCACATGTCACTTGCTAAAACTGTCAATGACCACTTCAGTTACTGTAGTAATGATTATAAATAAATCAATAGGTGATTTACCAGGTTGAATTTGTCCCGCTTGTTTTACACATACCTAGATCTGCATAGGAAATGCCTGGGCAATCTTCCACATTGTCAGCTAAACTCTTGTGTTGTAGCCATTCTGAAACATCTTGTTGAGGGCTGCAGTTAATTAGTGGAAGGAGTGGCAAGTGGAATATAGCAAGATGTCTCTCCATGAATAGGAAAAGTTTGGAGGGATAAGGGCCAGGAGCAGGCAGGTGGTAACAATTTAGTTTGAGATTACTTTAGGCATGGACTGATTGGAGCGAAGTGTTTGTTGCTGCATGACTGTATAACAGGTACAAGCAGACAGAACAGAGAGATACTGACAGGCAATGGGAAGGTCTACATTTGACAGAGTAGATGAAAACTTCCTTGATGCATTGCAGAACTAAAGTTCTCCTCTTCCTAGCCTTCAAGGAAAAGTTACAACTGTATCTAGGCTGAGTTGTGTCTGAACTTATGACCAATCTAGACCCCTACATGCTGACTCATTATGAAATCTGGGTCTTATTGTAAGTAAAAGTTCAGAAGAAGGGCTGAGAAGGTTGTCTCGATGGAGATCAAACCAACACCATATTATTTTGCCAAGTTAGTGATGAATGAAGGAAACACTGGCGCCAAGGTGAACTCAAATATTCTAGCTTTCATAGCTTAATCAGCTCTGCTGATTAGAGGGAGTGGGGGGGGGAGAGAGAGAGAGAGAGAGGGCAGGGCAGCAGCTAGGGGTTGGAGCAAAGTTCCAGAGACTAGGGGACCAACATTGAAGAGCCAGCACTACAAATGTACCAGAAATTAGCTACAGCAGCTCCTGCCACTGAACTTAATGAATAAAAATATCAAGAAATAAATGAATAAAATAATGCTACTGGGGCCCTTCCTGCTGCTGGATGCATGTTCAGTGGTGTGAGGTCAGATCAGGCATAAACTGAAGCAATGAACTTGAAAACGGCGCCATTGGCTCAGGTCAATATTATACAGTGATGGACTTAATGATTTTCCTGTTTCCTGTACTGACACACTATCAGTCAGGTGCTTCTGACTGTGTGAGGGGCATTGTGTGAGTCTTCCTGGTCACAATCCAACTTACCCATTTATGGTCAAGGGTCTGGGCTTACCTTTTTGAACCATACTGAAGGATGTTGAATAAGGTAGTTGATACAGGTTATAGATTTTTGATTCATAAGAATATGTTTGATTCATGCAATGGATCTCAATAAGGCACAACTTTTGCTAAAAGTTCTCATGACTAATGAGAACCAGGAAAATCTCTCCGCTGGCTGAAGTCAAACTGAGCACAAAGTAAGATGGTTGGGAATAGGTCATTTCAACTCCAGGACATCTATGCAGGGGCTCATCTGATACTGTCCAAGGCCGAATTATCTGTAGCTGCTTCACTGATAACCTTACTACCCCCCACCCTCTTCCTCCTCACACATTATCATTAAATTAGAAATGTGGATGCTTGGTAATAAGTGTACAATGGTCAGTATTATTTATGATGTTTCACTCCTGGTTGTAGAGAGAGAGAGAGATAGTGGGAGCTGCCCTGATGTCCAATCTCATAGCTGTCTCTGTAATTTTTTCCTTTCCTCCACTGTTCAATCCTTTTCTTTCTGAGGTCAACTCAGTTATACTGTTTCTGACTGCTTTACTCAGACAGCGAAAACAAACAGAAATTGCCTTGAGTGGTTCCCTGGACAGAAAGCTTTGTATGAATATAAATTGTTTTCCCACCCTTTGGCTAGCTGGTACTGTGGGACAATGGAAACTCTTGATTTTGAATATGATGTGATGCACGAACTGCCTCCTGATTGACATTTTTTTTATATCTAGAGGTGCTCTTACACACAACTGAACCTTTCAGTTCCTGTCACCTGTCAAAAAATGCCCATGGTATTTTTTCCAACTATTTAGCACCACCAGTAAAGCACCCGTGTTTCCAATTGAATAATTTATGTGCAAAACTCATTACAGGCAATGAAAACCATCAAAGGTGATA